GAGAGTTGAATATGGTCAGATTCAATTTATTAGAGGTAAGAAATAATAAAATGATAAGAATTTTTCTTATATGGAAAATAAATTCTAATTAGAAAATTGTATTTTTGATTTAAATTTATTCTAATTTTTTATAATCAGAACATTTTATCTCATACTCCACATAATTATAAAAAAGAATAATTGAACTTATCTGGCTAAAGTATATTTGGTGCAACTTTTTAAAATATAGAAAACAAGATATAAATTTTGAACAATACTTGATTGAGCGTTGAATATGGTCAGATTCAATTTATAAGAGGTAAGAAATAATAAAATGATAAGAATTTTTCTTATACGGAAAATAAATTCTAATTAGAAAATTGTATTTTTGATTTAAATTTATTCTAATTTTTTATAATCAGAACATTTTATCTCATACTCCACATAATTATAAAAAAGAATAATTGAATTTATTTGACTAAAGCATATTTGATGCAACTTTTTAAAATATAGAAAACAAGATATAAATTTTGAACAATACTTGATTGAGCGTTGAATATGGTCAGATTCAATTTATAAGAGGTAAGAAATAATAAAATGATAAGAATTTTTCTTATACGGAAAATAAATTCTAATTAGAAAATTGTATTTTTGATTTAAATTTATTCTAATTTTTTATAATCAGAACATTTTATCTCATACTCCAAATAATTATAAAAAAGAATAATTGAATTTATTTGACTAAAGCATATTTGAAATAAACTAAAGTATCTAGAGGATAGAGATCCATAATATGCCGGTTTTTAGACATTGAAGATTAACGAATAAAATTCGTATTACTATTTGAAATAAACTAAAGTATCTAGAGGAATAATAATAATAAACTAATAAATAAAACAAATTTTAATAAAACAAATTTTAATAAAACAAATTTTAATATATGAAATAATAAAAATTTAGTTATTTCGAACGACTTCAATTGTTTTATAACAATCATAATTCTCATATATTTATATTCTTTTTTCTAATTTGCATTTTCCAATTTGATTCGAATTTAGTTTATGACAATTTGTTCAATTCTGTTTTATAACAATCATAATTCTCATATATTTATATTCTTTTTTCTAATTTGCATTTTCCAATTTGATTCGAATCTAGTTTATGACAATTTGTTCAATGCTGTTTTATAACAATCATAATTCTCATATATTTATATTCTTTTTTCTAATTTGCATTTTCCAATTTGATTCGAATTTAGTTTATGACAATTTGTTCAATTCTGTTTTATAACAATCATAATTCTCATATATTTATATTCTTTTTTCTAATTTGCATTTTCCAATTTGATTCGAATTTAGTTTATGACAATTTGTTCTCTTCCTATTCCTTTTTTTCTTTGTCCATTTCTTCTAATTCATTATCCCATTTACTATTATTATACCAACTATATAATTTTATATTATATATCTCAAGTAAAACTATAAAACTTAAGTTCATAGACAAAATAATTCATATCTTATTTAAGTCTAATAATATAAAAGTCGTTCGAAATAACTAAATTTTTATTATTTCATATATTAAAATTTGTTTTATTTTGAAATTTGGAATTATAACAAATAACTCTTTTGTTTTGACTAAAGCATATTTGGTGCAACTTTTTGAAATATAGAAAACAAGATATAAATATTGAACAATGCTTGATTGAGAGTTGAATATCAGATTCAAATTATAAGAGGTAAGAAATAATAAAATGATAAGAATTTTTCTTATATGGAAAATAAATTCTAATTAGAAAATTGTATTTTTCATTTAAATTTATTCTAATTTTTTATAATCAGAACATTTTATCTCATACTCCAAATAATTATAAAAAAGAATAATTGAATTTATTTGCTAAAGCATATTTGGTGCAACTTTTTGAAATATAGAAAACAAGATATAAATTTTGAACTATACTTGATTGAGAGTTGAATATGGTCAGATTCAATTTATAGAGGTAAGAAATAATAAAATGATAAGAATTTTTCTTATATGGAAAATAAATTCTAATTAAAAAATTGTATTTTTCATTTAAATTTATTCTAATTTTTTATAATCAGAACATTTTATCTCATACTCCAAATAATTATAAAAAAGAATAATTGAATTTATTTGACTAAAGCATATTTGGTGCAACTTTTTGAAATATAGAAAACAAGATATAAATATTGAACAATGCTTGATTGAGAGTTGAATATCATATTCAAATTATAAGAGGTAAGAAATAATAAAATGATAAGAATTTTTCTTATATGGAAAATAAATTCTAATTAGAAAATTGTATTTTTCATTTAAATTTATTCTAATTTTTTATAATCAGAACATTTTATCTCATACTCCAAATAATTATAAAAAAGAATAATTGAATTTATTTGACTAAAGCATATTTGGTGCAACTTTTTGAAATATAGAAAACAAGATATAAATTTTGAACTATACTTGATTGAGAGTTGAATATCAGATTCAAATTATAAGAGGTAAGAAATAATAAAATGATAAGAATTTTTCTTATATGGAAAATAAATTCTAATTAGAAAATTGTATTTTTCATTTAAATTTATTCTAATTTTTTATAATCAGAACATTTTATCTCATACTCCAAATAATTATAAAAAAGAATAATTGAATTTATTTGCTAAAGCATATTTGGTGCAACTTTTTGAAATATAGAAAACAAGATATAAATTTTGAACTATACTTGATTGAGAGTTGAATATCATATTCAAATTATAAGAGGTAAGAAATAATAAAATGATAAGAATTTTTCTTATATGGAAAATAAATTCTAATTAGAAAATTGTATTTTTCATTTAAATTTATTCTAATTTTTTATAATCAGAACATTTTATCTCATACTCCAAATAATTATAAAAAAGAATAATTGAATTTATTTGACTAAAGCATATTTGGTGCAACTTTTTGAAATATAGAAAACAAGATATAAATATTGAACATTGCTTGATTGAGAGTTGAATATCAGATTCAAATTATAAGAGGTAAGAAATAATAAAATGATAAGAATTTTTCTTATATGGAAAATAAATTCTAATTAGAAAATTGTATTTTTCATTTAAATTTATTCTAATTTTTTATAATCAGAACATTTTATCTCATACTCCAAATAATTATAAAAAAGAATAATTGAATTTATTTGCTAAAGCATATTTGGTGCAACTTTTTGAAATATAGAAAACAAGATATAAATTTTGAACTATACTTGATTGAGAGTTGAATATGGTCAGATTCAATTTATAGAGGTAAGAAATAATAAAATGATAAGAATTTTTCTTATATGGAAAATAAATTCTAATTAAAAAATTGTATTTTTCATTTAAATTTATTCTAATTTTTTATAATCAGAACATTTTATCTCATACTCCAAATAATTATAAAAAAGAATAATTGACTTTATTTGACTAAAGCATATTTGGTGCAACTTTTTGAAATATAGAAAACAAGATATAAATATTGAACAATGCTTGATTGAGAGTTGAATATCAGATTCAAATTATAAGAGGTAAGAAATAATAAAATGATAAGAATTTTTCTTATATGGAAAATAAATTCTAATTAGAAAATTGTATTTTTCATTTAAATTTATTCTAATTTTTTATAATCAGAACATTTTATCTCATACTCCAAATAATTATAAAAAAGAATAATTGAATTTATTTGACTAAAGCATATTTGGTGCAACTTTTTGAAATATAGAAAACAAGATATAAATTTTGAACTATACTTGATTGAGAGTTGAATATGGTCAGATTCAATTTATAGAGGTAAGAAATAATAAAATGATAAGAATTTTTCTTATATGGAAAATAAATTCTAATTAAAAAATTGTATTTTTCATTTAAATTTATTCTAATTTTTTATAATCAGAACATTTTATCTCATACTCCAAATAATTATAAAAAAGAATAATTGAATTTATTTGACTAAAGCATATTTGGTGCAACTTTTTGAAATATAGAAAACAAGATATAAATTTTGAACTATACTTGATTGAGAGTTGAATATGGTCAGATTCAATTTATAAAGGTAAGAAATAATAAAATGATAAGAATTTTTCTTATATGGAAAATAAATTCTAATTAAAAAATTGTATTTTTCATTTAAATTTATTCTAATTTTTTATAATCAGAACATTTTATCTCATACTCCAAATAATTATAAAAAAGAATAATTGAATTTATTTGACTAAAGCATATTTGGTGCAACTTTTTGAAATATAGAAAACAAGATATAAATTTTGAACTATACTTGATTGAGAGTTGAATATGGTCAGATTCAATTTATAGAGGTAAGAAATAATAAAATGATAAGAATTTTTCTTATATGGAAAATAAATTCTAATTAAAAAATTGTATTTTTCATTTAAATTTATTCTAATTTTTTATAATCAGAACATTTTATCTCATACTCCAAATAATTATAAAAAAGAATAATTGAATTTATTTGACTAAAGCATATTTGGTGCAACTTTTTGAAATATAGAAAACAAGATATAAATATTGAACAATGCTTGATTGAGAGTTGAATATGGTCAGATTCAATTTATAGAGGTAAGAAATAATAAAATGATAAGAATTTTTCTTATATGAAAAATAAATTCTAATTAAAAAATTGTATTTTTCATTTAAATTTATTCTAATTTTTTATAATCAGAACATTTTATCTCATACTCCAAATAATTATAAAAAAGAATAATTGAATTTATTTGACTAAAGCATATTTGGTGCAACTTTTTGAAATATAGAAAACAAGATATAAATTTTGAACTATATGTCGAGAAAACGACAAAGAAGGGGGAAAAATAAAAATTAAATTAAAAATAAAAATTTTTGTAATAATATAGAAATTTATATTTTTTATCTAAACTTAAAATCTATAAATTTCTAAATCCCACACACATTAAAATAACCACCTTTTATCTAATAATTTTATCTCTTTAAATTTCTAATAATTTTTATGCTTATTCATTCATTCTGTTTTTTCCTTTCCAATTTAATATCGCCAATAACTTTGTGGAAATAAATAAATAAATAAATATTAAATTAATAAAATTTCTAAATTGTTTGAGTTTAAATACAATAAATTCGCCTAAAGTCTCAATTCGACAAGCTCGTAGTTGGATTCGTATCAACCCTCTTTTATTTATAGGCAGTTTCCCGACCTGTTTATCAATAAAAATGGTGCCACGACCCGGGACCGCCTAAAGTTCAGTCAACATCACCAAATTGGCAAAAATCCCTTTGCCTACACATCGTCTAAAGAAAATTTTAAATCGTCAAATTTTTTGTTCTGAATCTTCTTACTTCTTTCCACCTTTCAAATATGTCTCGAATACTACGTCAGGAGCTCGGTGCAGCAGTCTCATCACTTGTAGAACGTCTAAAAAATGCCGATTCGTACATCGACAGAATCAAATCGAAACCCACAGCAGAGGAAGAGCAGGAACTCAAAATTTCGGTCGAGATGGAACTCGTACATCTCGCCCAGAGAACCGAGCAGCTTCAGACAGTCATTCGTCACTACAATCAGTATATGGAAAGTTTAAGTGAAGCAAAGCAAGATGAGGAAGAAAAATTTCTGGTCAACTATTTAACTTTCGACGAAAAATCTGACAAAAGCGAATTTCCCGATCGCTGGCCAATTACAAGTTTGGTCAACCGAGCACAAGAGGCAATAAATCGGCTGAAAGCCTATCGAATTATGCGGCAAATGACTTCAGAAAATGACAGCAATAATTCACCAAGAGCGCAAAGCGCGCAAGGATCAGTTAATATTAACGAATCACAACGAACGCATATTATTCAGCCAGGTCAAGAAAGACGCCAGTTTTATTCAGATGAAGAAGAAGAAAGAGAATGGTCGCAACAGCGTCGAACTCTTCGCCAAAACAGTGACCGCGACGTTTATGAACCACAAGCACTACCCGTCGGTACTCCGTGGAACGCCCTTAAAGTTGATAGTGTGCGTCTACCTAGATTTGGAGGCGACATCAGAGAATGGAGAACATTTTGGGCATCCTTCGAACATGCAGTAGATCGTCAACCGTATCCCCTCTTCCAAAAACATCTCCTACTGTTACAGAACCTGAGAGAAGGATCGGCGGCGCGTGAAGCCATTAGCGGATACCCTCCCTCCGACACAAATTATAACATCGTCAAAGAGATTTTAAAAGATAAATATGGAAATGATGATCAATTAAGCGACCAGTTAGAAGCCCAACTTCTTAAAATGCAACCTATTCGAAATAATCTTCGTGAATTGTCTCAGTTTCAGAAGGAAGTGGAACGGATTTGTCTACAATTAGAAAGTTTAGGGGGTCAAAATCAACGTTTTTTGTGCAACATTATTAAATCTAAACTCCCTCATGGAGTCCTCCAACAGCTCGTCACAGAAGAACTTCATTCTAAAAAGAAGTGGGACGATAAAGCGCTTCGAAAGGCTTTAATAGATATCGTCAAAATTCGCCAAACGACTGAGGAATGTATGACTTCATTTCAAAGTGAACCAAGACGAGAGCAAACGCGGGACCAAATTAATAGTTCGGGATCGTTTAGAAGTGAAAGGATGCCAATACGACAAGATACGCGACAAACACCACGTCCAATAGAACAAACAAGAGCCTTTCCTGTATTTAGCGCCAATAATCGAGATAACAATCAAAATTCCTTTTGTTCGCTTTGTTCTAATAATGGCCACAAACCAAGCCAGTGTTTAAAATATCCTACTCCTCAAGAACGGAAAGCACGGTTAGAAGAGCAAAAAAGATGTTTAAAGTGTTTACAACAGAGTCACTCGACGGAACAATGTCCACGGTCGTTTTCTTGCAGAAATTGTGGAAGTTTAGACCATCATTTCATTATTTGTTCTAAAGTTAATGCCCATCTCCAGTCAATTAATCAGTCTATACAAATTCGACAAACAAGAAATTTAAGGCAACCCGATCAAAACCCCCGTCAAAATTCATTTCAAAATCGACAAAATAATTTCAGACCAAAATTAACTGGTGCCAATGCTACGACACTAAACACTCACAAACCAGTAACGACCTTGAGTGTTATTAACGAAGAGTCTGAAGAAAAGGAGCAGTTAATAAATCAAGGTGTCGAAAATACGTCTAATTCGTCTAGTTCAGTTACATATTTTAACGCCGATCTAATAAAAAATGAGAATAAAACACATCTAATGACTCTAAACATCCAAGTCTCGTGTTTGGGAGGTCCTAAAGAAGGAATTCCGGCTATGGTTTTCTTTGATTCGGGCAGCCAAACCAGTTATATCACCAAAGAATTAGTTGAGCAACTTCAACCGCCAAAACTCTCGGAAGAAATGCTTCGTATACACACCTTCGCAAATCAAAATCCAAAAACAATACGATCACTTCTCGTCTCCGTCCAGTTAAAACGTCAAGATGATAAATGGGAACCAATCCAATTGAATACAATTAACGAAATATCGTCTAAAATGGAGTCGTATCAATTTACAGGTAAACATGATCAAATAGAACCAGTTACAGGCACGCCTTCTATTTTAATTGGCATACGAGAATTTTGGAATTTTGTTACGGGTTTACGTCAAATCGGCCCTAAACTTTACAAGATACAAACAATATTTGGTGATGTGTTGGGTGGTGAATCATGCTTTGAAAGGTCCAATTATTCCTCAACATTTATGTCTATTAACGGCAAAAAGTTCGACCATTCCAACGTTATGGAGAATTTCTGGGCATTAGAAACTATTGGAATAAAAGAAAATCCTGAAGAAAAAGATGATGATACAGCTATGCGTCTATTTAAACAATCTATTCGTCAAAAACCGAATGGCACTTATACTGTACGTCTCCCATGGAGAGAGCCTCGACCAGTCATAAACTCAAATTGGGCAATGGCGTACAGTCGTCTTCAGGCTAATATTCGGCGTCTATCCTCCTCACCAGAACTTCTTCAGAAGTACGACAAAAATTTGCGAGATCAAGAATCCAAAGGCATAATAGAAGAAACTGGAAGAGACGAACAAGAATTTTTCATGCCACATCACGCCGTTATTAATCCTAAAAAATTGCGAATCGTCTTAGATGCGAGCGCACATCCCAAAGGAGCGTCAAGCCTAAATCAAGCGTTGTATCGCGGACCTGTACTTTTACCTACGCTAGTTGGAATGCTAATTCGATGGAGAAGCTGCCTTATTCCCATCTTATCTGACGTCCAAGCCGCCTTCCATACAATCGAAATGTTGCCTGAGGACCGTCAATTCTGCAAAATTCTTTGGCTCCGAGACGTCACTAAACCCATATCTTCAAATAATCTGGTCATCAAAAGATATACGAAAATGGTCTTTGGCGTAATTTCATCTCCTTTCGTGTTGGCTGCCGTACTTCTTCATCATTATGACAAATTTGATAGTGAGTTAGCGAAAGAGATGGCAAAAAACACTTACGTCGATAACATCCTATTTCAGTGCCAAAACGAGGAAGAAGCCCTTGCAAAGATCAAAGAAGCTAAAGAAATATTCAAACAAGCGGCCATGAATTTGCGTGAATTTCTGAGTCATCGGCCTACAATTATGGAACAAATACCGGAGGAAGATCGTCTAGACAAAGCAAAAGCACAAGTCCTGGGAATCAAGTGGGAGATATCTGATGACTCTTTAACACTTAAATTCCCAAAAGAAGACGAAAGTGTAATCAGTCGTCGATCAGTCCTCAGCGCGCTAGCTAGTGTTTACGATCCTCTGGGTCTTATTAATCCTTGCTTATTGTCGACAAAATTATTTTTTCAACGACTATGGGAAGGCGATCGAACATGGGATCAGCCAGTTAATCTTGAGGAACAGAAAGAATGGCAAAATATTCGTCAAACTTGGAAGGACCAAACCATCTCTATTCCTCGCCTAATCATACTTAACGAGTTTGAAGAGTGCCAAATTCACGTATTTAGTGATGCGTCGGAAAGTGCATATGCAACCTGCGTCTATCTTCGCACGTCAAAAGATTTGTGTGTCAATTCGTCGTTAATATTCGCGAGAAACCGGCTGCGCCCAAAAAACGCCAAATCGAGTCTGACTGTTCCGAGAATGGAGTTACTTGGAGCTCTCATTGCCGTTCGAGCTAAAATTCACGTACAAAACGAACTTCATAGAAAAATCGACGCCGTCCATTTTTGGCTCGATTCTCGAATTGTTTTAGCTTGGATTCAATCAACAGACCCCAAACCTCAGTTTGAACAGCGCCGACTTACAGAAATTCGTAAAGGAGCAAACGGAATATTTCATTTTGTTAGAACAGACCAAAATTCGGCCGACATCGCCACTCGTGGGTCAACGCCTTCTGAACTCCAAAATTCGTCTCTTTGGTGGAACGGCCCTCACTGGCTCTCACGCCCAGAAAACGAATGGCCTGACGAACTATCATTTGGCGTCAAAAGTCAAGATAATGAGAGTAATATAGACACCGTCAATACTAACACCTTCTCCAACAACAATAAAGAAACTAACCAACCTGAACCGCCAATAATTGATCCATCACGTTTTAGTTCAATTTTCACTCTTCTGAGGGTTATAATCTGGATCATGCGTTTTATCGGAAAATTGCGACCGAAAATGTTAAATACCAGTACGACAAATTTCTCACGGCAAGGACCTATCACAGTGGATGATTATAGAGCAGCTAGAATTTTTATTATCAAATTGGAGCAAAAACGTCTTTTAGAAAATTATTCGACACATCCAACGGCTATAAACCAAGATGGACTTTTATGTCTAAAAACACGTGTTACATTTTGTACTGGCCCCGAAACTTTAGCATTACCTATACTATTAGATCGACACTCACCTTTAACTCGTCTAATCGTCGAAGAAATACACATCGATTTGAAACACGCAGGAGTTGATTGGACATTAACAGAATTTCTTACTCGTTATTGGATGCCACAGGCCCGTCGAACGATCAGAAAATTCTTACATAAATGTTTTCAATGCCACAAAATGCAAGCCCCCCCTTTCGCTCGTCCAATAATGCCGCCATTACCTCCAACGCGCGTCAGACCTGCTAAACCCTTTGAATTCGTCGGTCTCGACTTTTTAGGCCCTACTACTACAAAACAAGATGGAATCAATGTCAAAGCATGGATTTTAATTATCTGTTGCATGGTCACTAGAGGAATTTACTTGGAGCCAACAAGAGATATGTCGTCGATATCAGTAATTAACGTCCTGCGCAGATTTATCAGCAGACGTGGAAAACCGAGAAGAATCTTGAGTGATAACGCGCCTACATTCGTCCAAATTCACAAAGCACTAGATTTACTGACCGGTCCGCCCTCTGAAACGTCACCTTGGGACTATACGACAAAAAACGGCATTCGGTGGGAATTTATACCTGCATACGCCCCATGGATGGGAGCCACCTATGAGCGACTAATTGGACTAGTAAAGAAAGCTATACAGCGGACAATCGGACGTCGAATTCTGGATTACGACGATCTTTGTGCATTCTTGTCGGAAGTTGAAGCTAGTGTAAATAGTCGACCAATAACATGGGTTTCCGATCTGCCTGGAGCACCGCTACCGCTCACGCCGAAGGATTTAATTCAAAACAGTGGTCCCAATGACTTAGGAGTAATAACTTGCGAATTAGATTGCGACGATGAAAAACTTTCGGGCCCAGAACAATTGGCAGCAATTTGGAAGGCTTATCGTGAGGCAGCCGACGTATTTTGGGACAGATGGAGTCAGGAGTATATCCTTGCAATCAGAGAACGCGCAGGATGGAATCACAAAGCCCCCAAATCTCAATCAAAATTTCTTCCGTCAATTGGCCAAATTGTGCTCGTCGAAATGGATTTAAGACCACGTAATCTATGGCCACTAGCTAAAATTGTGAAGTTAAATGGTTCGACAAATGAAATACGCAGTGTCGATCTTTTGATCGGAGATGGGAAAATTATAACTCGTCCAATCAGCAGATTGTGTCCTCTAGAAACAGAAATTGAGGAGTCGATAAAAGAAATTCCTAAAGAAACTAGCGAAATAAAACAAAAAGTAGAAAGTTTAAAAAACACGACGATTAGTGACAAAACAGCTCGTACACATAAAATGATCTTGAGAAATCAGAAACACCCAATTAAAATTAAATCGACTACTACTCTGATGTCACTCATGGTTTTAGCTTTAATTAGCCTTCCTGTATTAAGTACAGACACACTTTGGTATCGCTGTGGACAATTTGATTATTCATGTCTTATCGGCCTTTCGTCAATTATTACCGCACTTTCCGTCTATAGATTCGAGTGTGAAAGTTGTGAATTGCAATGTTCAAATAGAGGTGTTGTCGTCAAATCGCCTATAGAAATCCAAAAAACGGCAGTGTGCTGCATGAACAACTGTATAGACCATTCCAATTTAAAAGAATACACATACGAAGTTGCCCATGAAATCCTGGTCAACGACTATACCTGTGAGGCATGGTTCTGGGCCAACTCTCAAAACAGCATCAGTAGGAAAATAGAGTGTCCGGCAGTCAATGAATGCGATCTGTTTAATTGTTACTTTTGTCTCGAGCAGCTAGTCAATCCAACTTGTAATCCTAGATGGGCAGCCTTCTTACTACTCTTGTCAATCTTCATCTTGAGTAGCCTGGTTGGAATACTTTTAACAACCATCCGTTCTTTGCATACTATCGTCTACGCCTTAACCTTGATTTTGAAAATGCCATTTCAATTAACACGTTGGATACTCGGCAAGAAATGGGCAAATATTGAAGTAAAACGACGACTACATCGCACTGAATTAAATATTAGAGAAAGAATGAGAAATATAAACCGCCAAAGAAGACAATTTCGATATCGCCTAGCAAATGTTATGTTAGGAGCGATGACAGGCATATTAATAGTAATCCCAACATCATCAGTCATATCTATAACTACTCAAACAGAGAGTTGTTTAAGAGGAACCAAAGGTCTTACATGTACCATCAACAGCGCAACCACACTCACTTTACTACCAGCCGGCCAAACTAATACATTACTTTTGCGGGATGAGCATGGACTTACTCTGGGTACTATAACAATGCGTCTATTGTCTTTAAAAATGGTATGCCACCAGGAATCAATCGCGTGGTTACGTTCATACCGCGTTGAACCGACTGCTGTCAAAAGGTGTCCTCGAGCCGGCTCCTGCTTCAACGACCATTGTGAAAATGTTCGGCCAAATAGTCACGTCAAGGAATTACTAGTTGGCAGAGAATTACCTGGTAACACATTCTGTATCCCGTCGACAAGTTTCTGGGGCAACAGTTGTGGACTGCCTTCATCAGCTTGCCTCTACTATAGATATTTTGCGCGGCCAACAAGCTCAAATGTTTATGAAGTGTTTACATGCCCAAGCTGGAGCCCAGAAATAGATGTGGATCTCACGATAGAAACCAACGGGGGCCGTCGTCAAATGAAATCCATCAAATTACACCCGGGCATCACATCAGCCTCAGGGAACATCTCCATTACACCGTTGGCGATATCTCTTCCACCCATGCCCTTACTCGGGTCAACATTCGTCACTAACGGACAAGCCGTTTCAATCGTCAATCGACTACCTGTGGATTTACACTGTGGAACCGAAGAAGCAGCTCGATCTCTTAATTGTTCACTCGACTTAGAAGCGTGCAAGGAATGTTTCCCGAACCACAGTGACGGGACAGTGGAATGTAATTGCCGCGATGTAGACTTGGATGCGATGATGGAAATTCCGGAAACTCGACTTCCAATCACCAAGGCAAAAGTGTGGCTCGAGAATAATGGACCGACGATTTCAGCGACTTACGTATACGCACCTGTGCAAATACATCTCCAAATGAAAGGGTTAGCCATCCACCTTCAATTACGCGACTCAAAGTGTTTTATTGAGGAGGCTCGACTTCATGGATGTTATCGTTGTGGAGTGGGGGCTCAGATAACCTATAAATGCCGCTCCGACTATGCAAATCCCTTAGCTACTGTCAAGTGTGAAGATGGTACTCTTTTCGTAGCTCATTGCTCGACAAATGGCACAATTGGCAAAGAAACTATCCCCTACGGCTATTCGGACGTCAATACTTTATGCACCGTTGATTGCCCTGCAGGATTGACAAAATTCGTCTTAAACGGCACTTTATACTATATTCCTCTCAGAAAGCAATGGGGACATCAAATGTACCGCTCAGAACAAATCATCAACGAACTGGAGACACTCAGCTTTTGGCCAAGTTTAGGATTCGACATTTGGGTACTATCCAAACTTCTTCAAGGTGGACCAATATTTCTTGGCATAATATCGTCAATTGGACTTGCCTTAATCGCCGTCTATCTCTTTATGCGCCTATCGCCAATATTTCGAGTTTACCGACAAATAGCTAGAACAATCACCATCCTAGCAACCTTGGCGCGAGTTCAATCGTTAACGACAATAAAGTACGCATCCATCGACAAACCCGAACCGTTTTCGTCAAACCCGAACCAATTTGGATGGAATCTCCTTGGGATTGTCCTTGTGTCGACCAGTATTATAATTTTAACGCTTCGATTTATCTATTTACTTACGCCAAAGCCCTTTCGGCCCTTCTATCGACAAAAACGCCAAAAACATCCTGCGCCGATACTACCCGTCATTCCATTTATAATTATTGCACTTTCAGTGTGGCCGGCCGGATGTCCTTTCCAGGAAAAGAAAAAATTCCAACGACTAACTAGGCCACCCACATTTTGTACAAGTGAGCGACAAAACTATGATATCACCCTAATCACAGCAAAGAGAAAAATTCCAATCAACTATCAGTATGTTCAATCAGAATTCCATCACTTTTACGAAAATAAATTTAATTTCAACACGCCCACATTTTTAAATATAAATTCAACTGCAAAATCAATCATTATTAATTCTTTTAAAATTTTTAATAAAATGTTTACTGGAGGTTTTGGTACCCCGCGTCGAGCTAGAATGATACAGAGACAATTTCGCACCCCCTCTCAGTCCCCACCTAAAATATCGCAATTCAATACCGAGCGTCTAGATTTACACCTGGCTCGTATATATGGAGATAATTGGTTCCATACAATCGAAACCATCGACAAAATTACTGAATATTTGAGAAAAATGGAAATCCAGGACACTCACAATTGTACGACCATCGTCGAATGGGATTATATCACTTATCAGCCAGCGAAAAGTTTGTTAGTTCATCCAGGGGAGTCATTGGTATCTCATTGGTGTAAAAAAGGGCGCCCCATCAAAGAAGTGCACTTACCAGTATTGCGTCAAAGCGGGGGAATCATTGGAACGTCAAAATGTTCCCGACAAAAGCAGCGTTATGGGTTCATTCCTTGGCGCATGGGACAATTCCATCATACTTACTTTCCCCTTCAAAACTTGGAAGTGGTTCTCCACCGTCATCAATCCCCGAAAATTCAATCACCTGAACGACCAATATCGCATAATCCCTCCCCTGAACGTTCATCTACGCCAATAGAAGAAATTTCCCCAATTAAGCCTAACATTTCGACTGCGCCAGATAAAGCTCTCGACAACTTGTTGCAGGCGAGAGATGCGTTGGATCGGGCGATTGCTCTCTTAAGTCAGCAGCCGTCGACTTCGCGCATCAATTAAATTTTTCCCACATTTATTCTTTTGTAAATATTCTTTCCTTGTTCATTCTTTTCTTCCATTCTTTATTCATAATATATAATTTCATTAATTTACAGATTTTAAAAAAAGTTCTCTATTAAATTTATTATGTCACGTCGAGCAACTATCAAACCACCAGAGAGAGGAGAGTCGACTGCGACTTCTGAATCTTCCATACCTAAATTAAGAAGCCTTGCTATTGTGGCACCAACCTTGCACAAACCTTTTTCAAATTGTTCCTACTACCCTGACCGTGACCGTCGATCCCCAATTCGTCATCGTCGTCATCGCCGAACACCCGGTCGCACCATCCACCACCGTCGTCGAACGCCTCGCAGCCCTGTTCCCGCTAATAAACACCATCGTCAGAAATCTCCAAAACCCCCACCGCCGCCGTCAAAACCCCCATCTCCTTTGCCTCCACCACCTCCTCCACCCGAACTCCCCCCAATCAAATCACCAATTAAAATTGATGCCGAGCTTTGGACAACCATCCCAGAAAAAACCAGGGCCATCATAAAACAATTGGAAAAGAATTTACAGCAAGTAAACGCAAATATGATTGGCCTGGTGGCGATTAACACTTTAGAGGGTTTGGCGTCGAATCCAACAGCCCAGCAATATCTTGAACAGCTAGTACAAAAAATTTCAGCATTACATCCTACCACTAAACAATTAGAAGAATTTCTCCCTCACCAGAAAGATGACGGCAATACGACTAAACTGTTCAGGGAGGCGTTTGGCATGAATTTGAAACTCAAGTCGGCTGGTGGCGGGAATGTCGAGAAAACGACAAAGAAGGGGGAAAAATAAAAATTAAATTAAAAATAAAAATTTTTGTAATAATATAGAAATTTATATTTTTTATCTAAACTTAAAATCTATAAATTTCTAAATCCCACACACATTAAAATAACCACCTTTTATCTAATAATTTTATCTCTTTAAATTTCTAATAATTTTTATGCTTATTCATTCATTCTGTTTTTTCCTTTCCAATTTAATATCGCCAATAACTTTGTGGAAATAAATAAATAAATAAATATTAAATTAATAAAATTTCTAAATTGTTTGAGTTTAAATACAATAAATTCGCCTAAAGTCTCAATTCGACAAGCTCGTAGTTGGATTCGTATCAACCCTCTTTTATTTATAGGCAGTTTCCCGACCTGTTTATCAATACTATACTTGATTGAGAGTTGAATATGGTCAGATTCAATTTATAGAGGTAAGAAATAATAAAATGATAAGAATTTTTCTTATATGGAAAATAAATTCTAATTAAAAAATTGTATTTTTCATTTAAATTTATTCTAATTTTTTATAATCAGAACATTTTATCTCATACTCCAAATAATTATAAAAAAGAATAATTGACTTTATTTGACTAAAGCATATTTGGTGCAACTTTTTGAAATATAGAAAACAAGATATAAATATTGAACAATGCTTGATTGAGAGTTGAATATCAGATTCAAATTATAAGAGGTAAGAAATAATAAAATGATAAGAATTTTTCTTATATGGAAAATAAATTCTAATTAGAAAATTGTATTTTTCATTTAAATTTATTCTAATTTTTTATAATCAGAACATTTTATCTCATACTCCAAATAATTATAAAAAAGAATAATTGAATTTATTTGACTAAAGCATATTTGGTGCAACTTTTTGAAATATAGAAAACAAGATATAAATTTTGAACTATACTTGATTGAGAGTTGAATATGGTCAGATTCAATTTATAGAGGTAAGAAATAATAAAATGATAAGAATTTTTCTTATATGGAAAATAAATTCTAATTAAAAAATTGTATTTTTCATTTAAATTTATTCTAATTTTTTATAATCAGAACATTTTATCTCATACTCCAAATAATTATAAAAAAGAATAATTGAATTTATTTGACTAAAGCATATTTGGTGCAACTTTTTGAAATATAGAAAACAAGATATAAATTTTGAACTATACTTGATTGAGAGTTGAATATGGTCAGATTCAATTTATAGAGGTAAGAAATAATAAAATGATAAGAATTTTTCTTATATGGAAAATAAATTCTAATTAAAAAATTGTATTTTTCATTTAAATTTATTCTAATTTTTTATAATCAGAACATTTTATCTCATACTCCAAATAATTATAAAAAAGAATAATTGAATTTATTTGACTAAAGCATATTTGGTGCAACTTTTTGAAATATAGAAAACAAGATATAAATTTTGAACTATACTTGATTGAGAGTTGAATATGGTCAGATTCAATTTATAGAGGTAAGAAATAATAAAATGATAAGAATTTTTCTTATATGGAAAATAAATTCTAATTAAAAAATTGTATTTTTCATTTAAATTTATTCTAATTTTTTATAATCAGAACATTTTATCTCATACTCCAAATAATTATAAAAAAGAATAATTGAATTTATTTGACTAAAGCATATTTGGTGCAACTTTTTGAAATATAGAAAACAAGATATAAATTTTGAACTATACTTGATTGAGAGTTGAATATGGTCAGATTCAATTTATAGAGGTAAGAAATAATAAAATGATAAGAATTTTTCTTATATGGAAAATAAATTCTAATTAAAAAATTGTATTTTTCATTTAAATTTATTCTAATTTTTTATAATCAGAACATTTTATCTCATACTCCAAATAATTATAAAAAAGAATAATTGAATTTATTTGACTAAAGCATATTTGGTGCAACTTTTTGAAATATAGAAAACAAGATATAAATTTTGAACTATACTTGATTGAGAGTTGAATATGGTCAGATTCAATTTATAGAGGTAAGAAATAATAAAATGATAAGAATTTTTCTTATATGGAAAATAAATTCTAATTAAAAAATTGTATTTTTCATTTAAATTTATTCTAATTTTTTATAATCAGAACATTTTATCTCATACTCCAAATAATTATAAAAAAGAATAATTGAATTTATTTGACTAAAGCATATTTGGTGCAACTTTTTGAAATATAGAAAACAAGATATAAATATTGAACAATGCTTGATTGAGAGTTGAATATCAGATTCAAATTATAAGAGGTAAGAAATAATAAAATGATAAGAATTTTTCTTATATGGAAAATAAATTCTAATTAGAAAATTGTATTTTTCATTTAAATTTATTCTAATTTTTTATAATCAGAACATTTTATCTCATACTCCAAATAATTATAAAAAAGAATAATTGAATTTATTTGCTAAAGCATATTTGGTGCAACTTTTTGAAATATAGAAAACAAGATATAAATTTTGAACTATACTTGATTGAGAGTTGAATATGGTCAGATTCAATTTATAGAGGTAAGAAATAATAAAATGATAAGAATTTTTCTTATATGGAAAATAAATTCTAATTAAAAAATTGTATTTTTCATTTAAATTTATTCTAATTTTTTATAATCAGAACATTTTATCTCATACTCCAAATAATTATAAAAAAGAATAATTGAATTTATTTGACTAAAGCATATTTGGTGCAACTTTTTGAAATATAGAAAACAAGATATAAATATTGAACAATACTTGATTGAGAGTTGAATATCAGATTCAAATTATAAGAGGTAAGAAATAATAAAATGATAAGAATTTTTCTTATATGGAAAATAAATTCTAATTAGAAAATTGTATTTTTCATTTAAATTTATTCTAATTTTTTATAATCAGAACATTTTATCTCATACTCCAAATAATTATAAAAAAGAATAATTGAATTTATTTGACTAAAGCATATTTGGTGCAACTTTTTGAAATATAGAAAACAAGATATAAATTTTGAACTATACTTGATTGAGAGTTGAATATGGTCAGATTCAATTTATAGAGGTAAGAAATAATAAAATGATAAGAATTTTTCTTATATGGAAAATAAATTCTAATTAAAAAATTGTATTTTTCATTTAAATTTATTCTAATTTTTTATAATCAGAACATTTTATCTCATACTCCAAATAATTATAAAAAAGAATAATTGAATTTATTTGACTAAAGCATATTTGGTGCAACTTTTTGAAATATAGAAAACAAGATATAAATATTGAACAATACTTGATTGAGAGTTGAATATCAGATTCAAATTATAAGAGGTAAGAAATAATAAAATGATAAGAATTTTTCTTATATGGAAAATAAATTCTAATTAGAAAATTGTATTTTTCATTTAAATTTATTCTAATTTTTTATAATCAGAACATTTTATCTCATACTCCAAATAATTATAAAAAAGAATAATTGAATTTATTTGACTAAAGCATATTTGGTGCAACTTTTTGAAATATAGAAAACAAGATATAAATTTTGAACTATACTTGATTGAGAGTTGAATATGGTCAGATTCAATTTATAGAGGTAAGAAATAATAAAATGATAAGAATTTTTCTTATATGGAAAATAAATTCTAATTAAAAAATTGTATTTTTCATTTAAATTTATTCTAATTTTTTATAATCAGAACATTTTATCTCATACTCCAAATAATTATAAAAAAGAATAATTGAATTTATTTGACTAAAGCATATTTGGTGCAACTTTTTGAAATATAGAAAACAAGATATAAATATTGAACAATACTTGATTGAGAGTTGAATATCAGATTCAAATTATAAGAGGTAAGAAATAATAAAATGATAAGAATTTTTCTTATATGGAAAATAAATTCTAATTAGAAAATTGTATTTTTCATTTAAATTTATTCTAATTTTTTATAATCAGAACATTTTATCTCATACTCCAAATAATTATAAAAAAGAATAATTGAATTTATTTGACTAAAGCATATTTGGTGCAACTTTTTGAAATATAGAAAACAAGATATAAATTTTGAACTATACTTGATTGAGAGTTGAATATGGTCAGATTCAATTTATTAGAGGTAAGAAATAATAAAATGATAAGAATTTTTCTTATATGGAAAATAAATTCTAATTAGAAAATTGTATTTTTGATTTAAATTTATTCTAATTTTTTATAATCAGAACATTTTATCTCATACTCCACATAATTATAAAAAAGAATAATTGAACTTATCTGGCTAAAGTATATTTGGTGCAACTTTTTAAAATATAGAAAACAAGATATAAATTTTGAACAATACTTGATTGAGCGTTGAATATGGTCAGATTCAATTTATAAGAGGTAAGAAATAATAAAATGATAAGAATTTTTCTTATACGGAAAATAAATTCTAATTAGAAAATTGTATTTTTGATTTAAATTTATTCTAATTTTTTATAATCAGAACATTTTATCTCATACTCCACATAATTATAAAAAAGAATAATTGAATTTATTTGACTAAAGCATATTTGATGCAACTTTTTAAAATATAGAAAACAAGATATAAATTTTGAACAATACTTGATTGAGCGTTGAATATGGTCAGATTCAATTTATAAGAGGTAAGAAATAATAAAATGATAAGAATTTTTCTTATACGGAAAATAAATTCTAATTAGAAAATTGTATTTTTGATTTAAATTTATTCTAATTTTTTATAATCAGAACATTTTATCTCATACTCCACATAATTATAAAAAAGAATAATTGAATTTATTTGACTAAAGCATATTTGATGCAACTTTTTAAAATATAGAAAACAAGATATAAATTTTGAACAATACTTGATTGAGCGTTGAATATGGTCAGATTCAATTTATAAGAGGTAAGAAATAATAAAATGATAAGAATTTTTCTTATACGGAAAATAAATTCTAATTAGAAAATTGTATTTTTGATTTAAATTTATTCTAATTTTTTATAATCAGAATATTTTATCTCATACTCCACATAATTATAAAAA